TTCCCATCTGTACCGCTGTGCATCATCTGGTCTAGCCAGATCTGCAAGGCAGAATTGGGGTCCTGGTAGTTGGGGGGAATGATGAGTCTTTTATCTTGTGGAGTAATACCGTTATTGTTTTGAGGCCCCTGGCGGTGCACATGGTTTGCACTTGAGGTTGACAGTTTGAACTGATCCAGTGGTGCCACGAAAGAAAGGCCTGGTGGTTCCAACCAAGAAAACTCTATGGAGCAGTGACTCAGAATCCATTTGATGGCTCTGGGTTGGGTTTTTTCTTGTTGCAAGGCTTCTATGACAAGGACTCAGCATGGTTTTCTTTCTTCTTCGTAAATCAAACCGGACTAAAAGCAAACCACTGGCCTCCAATTTCTTCCAACTCAGTGACCCCATGTCGGGTTTCGGAGAATATCAGTCTTTCTCCCTTGGGGCACCTGCTGGGTTTGAACCACTGACATTGTGGCTAACAGTTCAATGTGTAAACCACTGTGCCACCAGAGCTCTTCTTAAGTAAACAATAGGAAATTTCCTTGACAAAAGCAAACATTGTTTCTGAAGCAAAATCAATTTTGGATTACTTGTTAGCCCTTGTGTGAATCACCCATTGTTTTTTCCAGCCAGGTGTTTGCATTGCTCCTGAAGTACCTTCTGCTCGCCCATTTGTTTTCAGAGGCTGCAAAATGATGGCCGACAGGCCAAATCCTTAGAGGCAAGGATGGCGAGACTTTGTCTCACGTACTTTGGCATGTTGTCAGGAGAGACCTGTCCCTGGAGAAGGACATCATGTTTGGTCAAGTGGAGGGGCAGTGAGCAAAAAAAGGAAGACCCTGCAGGAGATGGATTGACACAGTGGCTGTCACAATGGACTCAAACATAAGAATGATTGTGAGGATGGCACAGGACTGGGCGGTGCTTCATTCTGCTGTGCAGAGGGTGGTGATGGCTCACAACGGACGCAATGTCACCTAACAACAGCAAAGGCTGAATCTGGCCTTCAGATGTATCTAATTTGACCCAAGCAGTATTGACCTCTGCAGTATTTGAAAGGCAAAAATACGTTAATTAATATTTTTGCCAGCATTTAAGAATCATGAGATTTTTATAGAAAGTCCAAATTTCTTGAAAGAAAATGAGGTCTAGTGCCGCTGAGCTTGCATTCCCTCATGGCTCCAACCTGCTGGTGTCAAGGTGGTAGACTGGGTATTGTTCTGCAGCTCACCACTTGAAATGCACCAGTTACAGCCAGCCAGGTTTATTGATCAATCAGGTCCTTAGAGGCAACTGTTTCTAAGAGTGATGAGCTTTTGGGAAGAAGAGAGTTTTCTCTTCAGGGCTCTGCTGCCCAGCCTATACTTGATGCATAGAAAGCCTTCCCTAAGTATGCAGAGAGTTGAATGGAATGGCGTGAAACTGTCCCTAACCAGAGGATCTTGTCCCTTTGTATATCTTTGCTTTAGTTGCTCTTTTAATTAGATGATGGTGTTCATCTTTTAAAAAAAATCATTTTATTGGGGGCTCGAACAACTCTTATCACAATCCTTATATCCATCCATCCATTGTGTCCAGCACATTTGTATATTTGTTGCCATCATCATTTTCAAAGCATTTTCTTTCTACTTGAGCCCTTGGTATCAGCTCATCTTTTCCCCTCCTTCCCCACCTCGCCTTCCTTACAAACCCTTGATCATTTATAAATTAGTATTATTTTGTCATGTCTTACACTGTCCGACGTCTCCCTTCACCCACTCTTCTGTTGTCCATCCCCCAGGGAGGGGGTTATATGTAGATCCTTGTGATTGGTTCCCCCTTTCTACCCCACCTTCCCTCCACCCCCCTGGTATCACCACTCTCACCACTTGTCCTGAGGGATTCATCTGTCCTGGATTCCCTGTATTTCCAGTTCCTATCTGTACCAGTGTACATGATCTGGCCTAGCCGGATTTGTAAGGTAGAATTGGGATCATGATAGTGGGGGTGGGGAGGGGGTCACAGGGAGGAAGCATTTAGGAATTAGAGGAAAGTTATATGTTTCATTGGTGCTACACTGCACCGTAACTGGCTCATCTCCTCCCCGCCACCCTTCTATAAGAGGATGTCCAGTTGCTTTGGGTCCCCACTCCGCATTCCCCCATTCACAATAATATGATTTTTTTGTCCTTTGATGCCTGATACCTCATCCCATCGACACCTCGTGATCACGTAGGCTGGTGTGCTTCTTCCATGTGGGCTTTGTTGCCTCTCAGCTGGATGGTCGCTTGTTTATCTTCAAGTCTTAAGACCCCAGATGCTGTATCTTTTGGTAGCCAGGCACCATCAGCTTTCTTCACCACATTTGCTTATGCACCTGCTTTATCTTCAGCGACTGTGTCAGGAAGGTGAGCATTATGGAATGGTGGCATTCATCTTACAGATTGTTTTTTATAGCAGAGACCATCATAATTGAATATAGTGATAAATTACTCTTCCTAAAGACAGGGCAAGGGAAGCAGAAGCACGCATTTTGATTGTGAAAAGATGGATTCCAGTCACCTGGGGAGCCGTTTCCCAGTTCTAACCATTGTCGGGTGGACGGCAGTGGGATGCTTTTGCCTCCCGTTATTCTGAAGTCGTGGATCATTGCGGCATGCAACTTGAAGACAGAAGGAAAGGCTACATGA